AATTTCTAGGAACACGTTTTGCTTGTGGAGCACATGCTTTTTGTACAAATTCATTAAAACCAAATCTTTCTCCAAAATTAAATGCTAAATGCTCAACGGAAATAAATTTGCCTAATTCTTCCTTATAAGTTTTTTCATTAAAACGAAATAAAGGGGAAGTGTTAGGATTGATGTACCCGGAAATTTGTTGTTGCCCGATATCAATTCCCGTTTCGGTTGGATATTTGCTCCTAAGATATCGTTTAAATGTTCCATATCCTTGTCCACCTGTATATTTATATATTTTCCCACAATATTTACAAATTATATCATACATTTTTTGACCAATATCAAACATTTCCATTTTCGTGAAGTGATTCCAAATGTCAGATGTAAATTCCCGTTCCGCTTCCTTTGTTGTAGATATTTCGGCAGGAGGATGAAAACTTTCTTGCGTCGGGACGCGCTCCACATCGGGAAAAATGTTGATTTCATCATCTTGAAAATCTGCATATTCACGAGGATCAAAAGAATGATGGGATTCCGTCATGATATTCTTACCTTTGCCAGTTGGCACTCGACTTCCACTTGCCATTTTTTGAGTGGATTGAGAGAATTGAGCAGATTAATTGGGAGAATTAAGAAAGAATTGCGTAGATTGAGAAAATTGAGAGAATTTAAGAGAATTTGAGAGAATTTCGAGTATTGAGAAAATTTGAGACTTGAGAGAAGAGAATTTGAGAGAATTGTGAGTATTGAGAGAATTTGAGAGAATTTATAAAAAAAAAATGAGAAGAAAATTTAGGATTAAAAAAAAAGAAAAGATAACCGTTGCAATTTTGCAACGGTTATCTTTTCTTTTTTTTAAATTTTTGCCCGTTTGGGCGTTGGCCTTGGCCGTTGCCCGCAGCAGGGCCTGCAGACGTGCAGGCCCTGCTGCAGGGGGTTTTTTTTTTTTATTTTTACAATTTTGCCCGTTGCCAGGGGCTGCCCTGGCAACGGGCCGCAACAGCAGCAGCATGGCCTGCACCTACAGGCTGTGCTGCAGCTTTTTTTTTTTTTTTTGGGAACCGGGCCCGTAGGGCATGGGCCGGTTCCGGTTCCAAACCGCCGGCCCGGTCAACGGGCCGGGCCCGGGTTTGACCGGGCCGGTTCCCGGCCGAAACCGGCCCGTGGCCATGACTAATCCAAACCAAAATGATTGTGCATGACGTGAAGATCCCGTCTGAACACCAGATGTTGCCAAAATGCTATTTCGATAAAGTCCAGCACATCGTACAAACCTTAATTTCGATACCCACAATACGACGACGGTGGTACATATGAAAAAGATTTTGCACAGTACATCAGATTCGATTCATTGTTTACGTAACCGACTGAAAGCCCAAACCAGAAAATTTGCCGAATGGTTCAGGGCACTCAATTACATCATCCCTAACAATCTTAATTTTGATAGATAGTTAGGTTTAAGTATATACTGGTCACATTGTAATGTCCTCTAATGTTTTCTTGAAGGTACACTCAGATTACATCATACCTAACTTTCTTGGTTGTTTTAGCACACTCAATTACTTCATCCCAAACTTTCTTGTGATTGTAGTTAGAATAGTAGGTTTTAGCACGCTAGTCAAATTACGTGAGTGCTCTAATTTTTTCGATTGCCACGACCGAGGTTATTAACTCTTGTTAAATGTGTGATCAAATTCTTCTAATGGTAATTTTATTAATAGTTACCAATACGAATTAGGACTTTGCTCGCATCATAGTCTGTGAGCCCATGTGAGAGTAATAATATGTTATGAGCCACAAAGTTTTGAAGGAGTAGACCTTACAACAATTTATTATTTATTATTTTTTGAGGCCTAGAATGAGATGTCAATCTCACCGTCGCGACCTACCCTCAAGTTACACCTAGAAATTTGACTAATAGATTATTAAGTCTAGACTTAACTCGGGATCTCCCAAACTCATACCAATTCGCAACTTAAGGTCCAAGTTTTTAACATGCAAGATAATTTCAATTAGGAGTCACCACTAATCTATTTTTTGTGAGTTGATTAGAAACCCAAGTAAAGTATCAGAAAAATTACTTTACTCCTACGAACCAGAGATTATGGATTTGGGGACTTGATTACACTAGATTACTCTAATGCCCTTTCAGTACCTTTTTTTTTTTATTTCAAAAAAATATTTGCAGGCAACTTGAATTGATTTTAAACCTATCCACTAACATGCGAGGTGATCATGCGGGTGCGCAACCAATAATATAACACTCAATAATACAAAGCAATAAATAAATTGCAAGATAGGGACTTACCTCAAAACAACGAAAGCATCTGCAATTTTGAGTTAGAAAATCACATTGACAATCCTAATATGATTTCTAATTAACATGCAATTTCACTCAAATCTTTTTTTGGAGTTTTCTCTTATTTAGTGGAAATTAAACTATATGCAATGCATGCTACTAGTCTAACATGACATACGACATACGATTTACCTAAATGTCCTAATTCTAATGACGATTAAATGAACTATCTCTAATATGGCATGAACGTGGTATTTTATATATATTTTAGTTTAAATTCAAAATAAATAATTAACCTAATTTAAACATGTAATAATAATATCTAAGAAAAGAATCTAATCTATTCTAAGAAAATAATCAAAATTTATCCTAAACATGCAATATATTATCCACTCAAATTTTACCAAATCTTTTTGTATTTTTTTTTTTTGGAAAGACAATCAATTTAGTTCAAACAAAAGACGGAAAGAAATAGCAATAAAATGATCACGACATCCAATCACAGGAAATATTATCTATATCTATTTAAATTTAGAAACAATAGATTGGCGAATCATATCTCAGGCATGAGGATCGGATTGGCCAATCTTCCGCACAATCGCGAATCATATCTCAGGCGGGAGATCGGATTGACGATTTTCCGTACGATCGCGAGTCATATTTCGGGCATGAAATCGGCCTGTTGATCATATGCACGTTATTAAATTAAGAAATAATTTCTAATTTAAAGACTATTCGGGAACTTATTGGATACGATAATATTACTCAAAACTTCGCATAAGATTGCAATATTTCAAACAAGGAAGTAATATACTCGAAAGTCAAATTAGATGAGCTTTTCACCTACTTCGAATATTTGCTTTCTAAGTTTGGATCGGCGGACGGTGGCTCGAGGCTAGGAGTGTTGAGTACGTCGGGGCTAATTGGAACTTGTCACCAATTGAGGAATAGAAACGCAAGATGCTTAAATGCAATGTGAACTTGTTGGGCGTTGCTTGAAGGCCACCAGAAAACCTGCGAAGGAAAACTCCAGTGCGACAGAGAAATAGTATAACAAACAGCGGCGTCCGGTGTAGCCGAGGCTACGCTTGATCGATGATGGTTTCTGTGTCGCCAAAGTAGCAAAAGATTGATAGCAAGAACAAGTTGCTACAGTGACGGGCTCGCTGAATACCCACGATGGCCACCAAAATCCGACGCTGAAGTCCGCAAGTTTGCTCGGTGAAGGGACGGAAACCGAGAGGGGGAGTCTTCGTGTGTGTCTTTCGTTGACCTGCAGCTTCTTTCTTGTCTTCAAACATCACAATACTTGCTGGTTTTCTTTATCATATCTGGACAAAAATCAAAAGAAAACCAGCCACCGCTTGAAGCTCCCCTCACGATTTCTTCTCTCTATTCTCTGGCCGTCTCTCAATGTGGCCGTGTGACTCAATTGTGTGGCCTCCTCTGCTCTTCCCCCCGTGAAGTGAAGCCCCCCTCCTCCTTTTATATACTTTTTTTCACTGACAAATCCTTGGACGCATGCATATTTTCTTTCCTCTTTCTTTTCAATCAAATATTCCTTTTGTTGACTAAATCTTATTCTCAACTATTTATTCCTTCGAATAGTTGATTTCACAAATATCACGAAAATTATGACGATTGCTTCTTTCTTATTTGCTATGTGACCAAAATCTTGATAATATCAAGCTTTATCGCTTCAAATTTTCATCAAATTTTCCTAACTTGGTACACATGATTTCGGCCACCGCAGACTTAATCCAGTTAAGTTCAGAATCATTCACTCAAGTCTACCCGCCGCCGGCCCAATGCAAATGGAACTATATGAGCCTAAATACTAATTCAAATGCTCATAATCTATATGCAATTTAACTAATTTTTTGTCTAGGGAACGGGATCGATCCCTAATTTTTTATGCAACGAACGACATACTGGGTCGCCAAAATTTAGGTGTCAAAACTCACAGTGGATTAATGACAATCACTTAATCATTCTCTAATTTTTTTTATTAGATCATTCATATTATGGGTGTCAAGAGTTCGATTCGATTCGAATTTTCAAGAAAACTGAACCGAATCGAACCGTTTTGGTGTGTGATAACTTTGAATCAAACTGCGACCCGAATCGAGTATAACCCGAACCGAAGGCCCATTTCAATTCAGTTTTTCGATTTTCTTTTTTGTAATATTAAGAAGAGGTTAGTGAAAAGGAAAGGGATTTCGTAAATTATAATATTAAGAAGATTGATGATTTTTAATTTGGATCGGTTAATCGAATCGAATCGAAACTATCCAAACTGAAATGAAATAACAGTTATTTTTCATTATTCAAATAGAAACTGAAACAACATTTAGTTCGGTTCCAGTCTCAGCTCGATTTTTCAGTTCATTTCTAACACCCCGAGTTCAGATTATGCGTGCTGGCGTGCTTAGGCACGTAAGTTCAGTTATAAAAGCTATCCGAAAAGACGATTCGACATTTCATAATCGGAAGCAATCACCTCATGTCACTATCTCCCCCTCTCCTTCCTCATCGAGAAAACATTACACGCGTCAGACTTCCATTGAGTGATTTGACACGTGTACATGTGGCCCCACTCTTCAGGTTTTGTCTCCCTTGTTGACCCACCACTCCATCCTAGCTTCTAGATGTGGCCCCGAAATATGACGCAAAAAATCGCTCTCAATCTCACAATCGCCTTTACCAACCTTTGTCCTACTTTTGGCCAAGCAAAGATAGAAGAGCGACCTACTGAAATTTGAAAAAGAAAATGCTTCCTCACTGATTTTTCTTCTCGGAAACGCAGGCGTGAAAACTCAAACTAACCTACATCGATGGCCCAAAAGAGAGAAACAAACGATCCTATATCTACTTCCCCACATAAGTTCAACACATCACACCCATCTTGAGCAATCCTCTCTCTCTCTCTCTCTCTCTCTCTCTACACCGCCTTCTTGTACACATCAGATGGAGGAGGCAGTGGTGCTATATCCGTCGCCGGCCATCGGCCACCTCATCTCCATGGTGGAGCTGGGCAAGCTCCTCCTCTCTCACCGCCCTTCCCTCTCCATCCACGTCCTCATCACCAGCCAGGCCTACAACGCCGGCTCCACCACCTCCTACATCGCCTCCGTCTCCGCCGCCTGCCCCTCCATCGCCTTCCACCACCTCCCCGCCACCTCCCTCCCACCGGACTTCTCCACCACCTCCCCCCACCACGAGACCCTCGCCCTCGAGCTCCTCCGCCTCAACAACCCAAACGTCCACAGCGCCCTCACCTCCATCTCCAAGAACCACGTCGTCCATGCCCTCGTCATCGACTTCTTCTGCGCTTCGGCTCTGAGCGTCGCGCATGAGCTCAGCATCCCTTGTTACTACTACTTCACCTCTGCTGCGAGCGTCTTGACCGTGTTCTTGTATTTCCCAACTCTTCACAAGCTCTACACAAAGAGCTACAAGGACCTCAACGCCGTTCTTCATGTCCCGGGGACGCCGCCCTTGCCGTCCTCCGATATCGCGAAGCCGGTGCAAGACCGCGACGACAGGGCATACGAGCTCTTCCTCGAGAGCGCCACGAACATGGCCACGTCTGCCGGGATCATAATCAACACGTTCGAGAAGCTCGAGCCCAGGGCAGTTCAAGCGATCAAGGACGGCAAGTGCGTGCCCGACGGCCCCACGCCTCCGCTGTACTGCGTCGGGCCGCTGATCACACGCGGAGAGGGAAAGAGAGAGGGCGGCAGAAACGGCATGTCGGATTGTCTGACGTGGCTGGACTCGCAGCCGAAAGGAAGCATCGTGTTTCTATGTTTCGGAAGCTTGGGCGTTTTCTCGGTTGAACAATTGATGGAAATAGCGACAGGGTTGGAGAAGAGTGGCCAACGGTTCTTGTGGGTGGTCCGCAGCCCGCCACAAGACACAGACCGGAAGACCGCGACGTCAGCTATGCCCGACCCAGACCTGGGCTCGCTTCTCCCAGAGGGCTTCTTGGAGCAGACAGGGAAGAGGGGCCTGGTGATGAAGACGTGGGCGCCGCAGGTGGCGGTGCTGAACCACAGCTCAGTGGGTGGGTTCGTGACTCACTGCGGGTGGAACTCGGTGCTCGAGGCGGTGTGCGCCGGCGTGCCGATGGTGGCATGGCCACTCTACGCGGAGCAGCGGCAGAACAAGGGGCTGATGGTGGAGGAAATCAAGATAGCCCTGCCGGTCAACGAGTCGGAGAGCGGGTTGGTGAGTTCGGAGGAGGTGGAGAAGCGAGTCAGAGAGTTGATGGAGTCGGAGGAGGGCGAGATCATGAGGGAGCGAGTGAAGTCTTTGAAGGAGGAAGCGAAGGCCGCTCTGAGCCCGGGCGGGTCATCTAGTGTTGAATTGCGTAATCTCGTTGAGTCGTGGAAGCGGTAGTGAGTTGGTGGAATCTAGTAACATCCAGCATTTGCGTCCATAAGGTGAAAAAATGGTAGTTGTAGAAAGAAAATTTACAATTTAATAAGGTTCATGGCAGTCAAGCGTTAATGTCTCATCGCTTGGTAATACAATTTAGGAAAAATTTCAAATAATGATTCAAAATGCTTTCATTTTCTCAAATAAGGATCTAGAGCGAATCTTGTATCAAATAAGTACTTAAAGCGCAACTTGTCTCATTAATATCCTCGGCACACCACCAATACCGCCCTCCGACGTTGTGAAACCATTGCAGGATCGCTATGACGAGGCCTACAAGGGCTTCTTGGATTCGTCCCTGAAAATGCAGAGAAGCTGGAGCCAAGAGCGATACGAGCCATCATGGACGGCCAAGTGTGTGCCTGGCGGATCCACTCCTCCGCTTTACTGCATTGGGCCGCTGATCTCGAGCAGGGGAGGTGATGACGGCGGATCGCCGGAGTGTCTGACGTGGCTTGACTCCCAGCCAAGAGGGAGCGTCGTGTTCCTGTGTTTCGGGAGCTTGGGCGTGTTCTCGGTGGAACAGCTGAAGGAAATAGCGACGGGGCTGGAGAGGAGCGGTCAACGGTTCTTGTGGGTGGTCCGTAACCCAACAGATGACAAGAACCAAAAGGCTGCCACGAGCGCGAAGCCCGACCCGAACTTGGGCTCGCTGCTTCCGGAGGGTTTCTTGGAACGAACCAAAGAGGGGACTCGTGGTCAAGAAATGGGCCCCGCAGGTGGCGGTGCTGAGCCACCCCTCGGTGGGCGGGTTCGTGACTCACTGCCTGTTGAACTCGGTGCTGGAGGAAGTGTGCGCGGGCATGCCGATGCTGGCCATGCCCGTTCTATGCAGAGCAGCGGCACAACAGGGTGCTGCTGGTGCACAAAGGGGTGCTGCTGGTGCAGGAGATGAGGATCGCCCTGCCGGTGGACGAGTCAGAGGACGGGTTGGTGAGTTCGGAGGAGGTGGAGAAGCGAGTCACAGAGTTGATGGAGAGTGAGGAGGGCAAGATGGTGAGAGAGCAAACGCTTGCCATGAAGGAAGGAGCTAAAGCTGCTCAGAGCCCCGGCAGGTCGTCTCGGTCGGCGTTGGCCGGACTGATTGAGTCGTGGAAGCGCGAGTGAAATGCGCTGGATATTGCAGGTCTTCTCGGTCGGCCGTCTGCTGACGAATTTTTCTTCTTGTCTTCTAGGTTTGCAACATTACGAACAAAGTGGCATGTGCTTTTCTATGTATCAGTTTTTTCTTTTCTTTGGTTGAATTTTGTCTTGTAGGCTGCGCTTTGATTGATTCTCCCCCATGCAAACAAAATCCTTTCTTTTATGGGTGAAATAAAATCTCTCTCGGATTGTATTTGCAAATTTATTCTCTCCCTTTGTGTTACCTATCTCCATTTTCGGCTGGTTTTGCAGACCACAACAGTTTGCAGTGCTCTAAAGTTATAATAGCATTTAAGGAATCATTTCATTGAGCTATGAAGTGCTGTGACTGTTTCAAAACATGTAAGATAGATAGAAAACATATTTCACAATGCACTTGCAGCGCAACACTGTTACCCATCATCTGCCACCTCATGACGTGTTGTGTGTTTTTTTTTTACTTTTGGCCATAGTCAACCGATAAAATGTTAACTATACAGGTTTTCGTATTGGAAGGGTTTACATCGAACGACTAACTCTGCCGGTGGGCCCGAGGGCCGAGCCCATCTGATCGTGCACTCAGGTGGGGCCCACCTGTCCACATACCAGAACATAAGATAAGACGTGGTAGATCTCCACCGGAGTCCATTTGGAAGAGAACGATGCGTCGTTGTTAGACCACGTCAATCGGTGAACATTATATATTGTAGAACATATTTTAGACAGGGTTTTTACTAGCGTAACAATATTTAGATCACTGCGTCACAAATTCTTAAATGAGTAGACCTCACGATAATTTATAATTATTTATAATAATAAATAATTATTGTAATGTAAATTAGCACATAAGTTTTTCATAATATTTTTGACATTTAAATAATATTTCGATTTTCCTGGGAAAGAAAAATAAATTGTTTGCTTTTGACTAATGACTAACAAAAAGGCCCTAAAATACTAATCAAATTGTATGATTGAAGCATCACAATGAATGGAAAACGAGAATCCCAAAATTAGAAGATTAGCAATCTCTCAATGCACAGGCACGCACGAAGAAAGAGTTCAAAATGGACGAGGTTTATCTGCAACAGATTCCAGCATTAACGTTGTCGTCGAACACGTGTGTACAAAGTACAAACGTGTGAATCTTAAATCTGTGTCTCTTTCTCTGCTCCAATGGTGGAGCCAAGATTATTTCGAAAGTGAGGTCAATGAAAAATCAAAATATGCATAAGCTATTTTCAATAATAAAACTTACTTTCATGATTATGACAATTGGCAAAATTTTAAATGACGACATTTAGTTTCTAAATTTACATATGATTTTGGTTTATAGCGATTGACTTTTTTTTCTATCGAATGTGATTGACTATTGAAATGATCAAGAAGTAATCCAAAAGCCTCTTAGAGATTAGGTAAATGTATATATATAAGAATCGCATTACAAATTACACGTTCGATCACTTTATAGTTATCGATAACGTATTAATAAATTCATATCTTAAAGTACTATGATTGGCTTTTTTATCGCACTTTTTATAAACGATTTCCTATCATTTTCCTTTTCTATTTGACGTGTGCATCGGTCGATATTAAAGTTTCTAAAGAGATGCTATTTCATTCAAAATTGGTGTGTTGAACACGATGAAACAAGTAGTACGGGACGCCTAAACGTCTACAATAGCTAGACGCTGTAAGCTGTACAAATTTAATATGTGTAATGATGGAACGCGGGATTACTTAGATATTTGAGAAAGTTTAGTTATTTTGTTTAGTTATATGAGTAATCTTGATCGATTGATGTTCCTGAACAGTCCCTCGGGCGTAAAAGTACATGCCCAAAGTCCTTCTCACGAGAAAATTTTTATCTTTTTGTTCCTATACTCTTACTTCTTTTCTAATTAAGTTTTCTTACTTTTATTTTATCTAATAAACTCCTTTTACATTTACAATTTTTTTTATATAAAATCCCCCTCACTTTAAATTCGACCGAATTTAGCTGATGAGACTGTCGGATGACACAAAAGTATGCATGTGTGGAAACATTTATCCAATGTAGTCCACGTCGAAATATAATGCGGATAAAACTTAGTTTAATTAAACACCCACGTGGACCTTCATATTGGAAAAACTTTATCCACGTCTCATCACAAATTTTCTGACAATAACTTAGTTGGATTTGGCCTGATTTAATACTTGGATTTCGTAAAAAAAAAGAAGTAAAAATAGAATGACAAAAAGTTTAATTTTTAGACTAGAAAAATATTTCATCTCACAAACTGACCTGTATTATTAAAAATACCTGCGTGCATTTGGTGTTGTTTTTACTGACCCAAGTTTTATAAATTTTCGCTAAAACTCAAAATATTATCCACATTACGAAGATAACAGAAAAATATGTGGAGCAAACTTTTACGTGGTAATTCACCTACAAAAGCACATTTAAACAAAATTTGAGCATTTTTCATTTTAAAAAAATCAACATGTGCGCACCTCATGTTTGGACAAAAAATTGAAAGCAAATCCAAATATACTTCTAAGATTTACACAACGGGCGGGTTTAAGTAAAAGAGTGTTTAGACCCAACCCCGGCCATGGCCCCCTCATTCCGATTACCCGCACCCGTCACTTTTTGGCCCTTTCATGAACCTGACTCGATCCTGTCTAGGCCACTGAAATCACATCCGCAATTATTTGTGAAAGTGTCTTATTAGAACTAATTTACAAAACTCACGTATAAATTGGTGCAATACATACTTATTGGATACTGCTGACGTGGGCACCAATTTAGTCCTAAACATTTTTTTGTGTCAATTTAGTCATAAACATTTGATATAGTGTCAATTTAGTCATTCTGGCTAATTTTTGCTGGATATTGCTGACGTGGGCGCCGGGCGGCGCTGACGTTGACAACTTTTAATAATGTTTTAATAATTTTTTCAAATTATATATTTATTTATTCATTTTCTTTTTTTTTCCTTTCTTTTCTTTTTTTTTTCCTTTCATTTCTCCTTCCTCTAGCCGGTTGATTATGCGAACTTGATTTAGGCCTTATTAATGTAATGGGCTCTAACAACCCAAGGCCTTTCATTAATTAAACTTAATGGGCTAACTTTGATTGAACTAAACTCAATAAAGCCTCCCCTCTCTAGTGGATTTCGGCCGAGCCAAGATGCATGGGCTTAGCTAAGTTCAATTTTGTTATAGGCTCAATTAAGCTCAGAACTCTAAATAAATCCCATCCCCAATCACATGGGATAAATCAATCTCAATTAAAGCTCAAGAACATTGTATTTTGTCTTGGAATTTACAGCCACCAACACACCTCATAGCTAGGCCGAATTTTGCCTTTCCTCACAGGCTTGATCCATATAATTCAATTAAGTTCAAAACAGTCCAATTAAATGCCTTTTTTATGAATTTATTTATATACCTTGAAATGCTCCTAAAAACTATATGCAATTTAATGAAAATTAGTTTTGCTAGGGGCCGGAGTCGATCTCTAATTTTCTATGCAATAAATTATTAAATGATTAGTCAAAATTTAGGTGTCATCACTTATCTATAAAATTATTTGATTATGTTGAATTGAGTTTCCAAATAAGTCAATTACATAGTGTTTTCGAATAAAGGTACAATGGTCAAATTTTGATTTTTGCTTAGAGCTTGTTAAATCATAGAAGCTCCCATAGTCGGAAGGGAGGCATTCGAAATGGTGAGTACGCTAAATAAGCCTTCGTTCCTCACCATCAAGTATTAAGTATCGCTCCTATCCTTCCTCTAACGATGCCTGAATGCTACGTTTGCCTAGCCAAATTAGTTGTGTTCTTCAAACAAGTTTTTATTATTGTGCTCGTGACCAGATATCCGTGACATTTGTTGACACCTATTTTTAATTTGCCCAAAATTAATTGCACAAAATTTAGGAGTTAATTTTCTTTAATTCCTAAAACAAAAAAATATTTCTATTTAAATGCATTACATATAGAAATTAGGTACATTTTGTATTAATAGAGTCTATTAGAGTGTTTAAAAAAAATAATAAAAAAAAAAGAATTTTCGAGTTGGGCCGGGTCGACCCGACCCTTTTCTTTTTTTCCTTTTTCCCCCCGCACGGGCCCAGCCCATTCTTTTTTTCTTTTCTTCTTTTCCCCGCGCGAGCTGGGCCCGGCCCAGCCCAGCTCCCTTCTCCTCCTTCCTTCTTCCCCCCTGCGCCGAGCGGTCCTTTTCTCTCCCCTGTTCTCCTCTGCCGCTGACGCAGAAGCGAGCGA